GTTCTTCGATAATCGACTATCGATAGTACTATCGCTAGTCAACTTTCGATACTACTATTGATAGTTCTTCGATAATCGACTATCGATAGTACTATCGATAGTCAACTTTCGATACTACTATTGATAGTTCTTCGATAATCGACTATCGATAGTACTATCGATAGTCAACTTTCGATACTATTGATAGTTCTTCGATAATCGACTATCGATAGTACTATCGATAGTCAACTTTCGATACTACTATTGATAGTTCTTCGATAATCGACTATCGATAGTACTATCGATAGTCAACTTTCGATACCACTATTGATAGTTCTTCGATAATCGACTATCGATAGTACAATCGATAGTCAACTTTCGATACCACTATTGACAGTTCTTCGATAATCGACTATCGATGGTACTATCGATAGTCAACTTTCGATACTACTATTGATAGTTCTTCGATAATCGACTATCAATAGTACTATCGATAGTCAACTTTCGATACTACTATTGATAGTTCTTCGATAATCGACTATCGATAGTACTATCGATAGTCAACTTTCGATACTACTATTGATAGTTCTTCGATAATCGACTATCGATAGTACTATCGATAGTCAACGTTCGATACTACTATTGATAGTTCTTCGATAATCGACTATCGATAGTACTATCGATTGTCAACTTTCGAGACTACTATTGATAGTTCTTTGATAATCGACTATCAATAGTAGTATCGATAGTCAACTTTCGATACTACTATTGATAGTTCTTCGATAATCCACTATCGATGGTACTATCGTTCTTCGATAATCGACTATCGATAGTACTATCGATAGTCAACTTTTGATACTACTACTGACAGTTCTTCGATAGTCGACTATCAATAGTACTATCGATAGTCAACTTTCGATACTACTATTGACAGTTCTTTGATAATCGACTATCGATGGTACTATCGATAGTCAACTTTCGATACTACTATTGACAGTTCTTCGATAATCGACTATCGATGGTACTATCGATAGCCAACTTTCGATACTACTATTGACAGTTCTTCGATAATCGACTATCGATGGTACTATCGATAGCCAACTTTCGATACTACTGACAGTTCTTCGATAATCGACTATCGATGGTACTGTCGATAGTCAACTTTCGATACTACTATTGATAGTTCTTCGATAATCGACTATAGTCAACCTTCGATACTACTATTGATAGTTCTTCGATAATCGACTATCGATAGTACTATCGATAGTCAACTTTCGATACCACTATTGATAGCTCTTCGATAATCGACTATCGATAGTACAATCCATAGTCAACTTTCGATACTACTATTGACAGTTCTTCGATAATCGACTATCGATGGTACTATCGATAGTCAACTTTCGAGACTACTATTGATAGTTCTTCGATAATCGACTATCGATAGTACTATCGATAGTCAACTTTCGATACTACTATTGATAGTTCTTCGATAATCGACTATCGATAGTACTATCGATAGTCAACTTTCGATACTACTATTGATAGTTCTTCGATAATCGACTATCGATAGTACTATCGATAGTCAACTTTCGATACTACTATTGATAGTTCTTCGATAATCGACTATCGATAGTACTATCGATAGTCAACTTTCGATATTACTGTTGATAGTTCTTCGATAATCGACTATCGATAGTACTATCGATAGTCAACGTTCGATACTTCTATTGATAGTTCTTCGATAATCGACTATCGATAGTACTATCGATAGTCGATTATCGAAGAACTATCAATAGTGGTATCGAAAGTTGACTATCGATAGTACTATCGATACTACTATCGATAGTACTATCAATAGTACTATTGATAGTCAACTTTCGATACTACTATTGACAGTTCTTCGATAATCGACTATCGATGGTACTATCGATAGTCAACTTTCGATACTACTATTGACAGTTCTTCGATACTCGACTATCGATAGTACTATCGATAGTCAACTTTCGATACTACTAGTGACAGTTCTTCGATAATCGACTATCGATAGTGCTATCGATAGTCAACTTTCGATACTACTATTGACAGTTCTTCGATAATCGACTATCGATCGTACTATCGATAGTCAACTTTCGATACTACTATTGACAGTTCTTCGATAATCGACTATCGATGGTACTATCGATAGTCAACTTTCGATACTACTATTGACAGTTCTTCGATAATCGACTATCGATGGTACTATCGATAGTCAACTTTCGATACTACTATTGACAGTTCTTCGATAATCGACTATCGATGGTACTATCGATAGTCAACTTTCGATACTACTATTGACAGTTCTTCGATAATCGACTATCGATGGTACTATCGATAGTCAACTTTCGATACTACTATTGATAGTTCTTCGATAATCGACTATCGATAGTACTATCGATAGTTTTGCACCACTAGAGCAAACACAGTTGCCGCACCGCCACTCGCCTCCCTTCCTTCTTTCTTCGCCCAAACTCCCGTCTTTGTCATCACTGAAAGCTGAACCAAAGTTGGGGTGGTAAGTGCTTGGGCTAGTTGGTGTCCCATTTAAAAAAAATATAACGCTAGAAAAAAAGAAGAGGGAGCGACGCAAATTACTAGTCTCGCAAAAGTATCGATAATAAACCGTACGATAGTCGACTATCGATAGTTTTCTTATAGTCGATTAGCGATAATTTTCCGATTTGCGACTATCGATAGTACTATTCACAGCTTTTTGATAGTCGACTATCGATGGTACTATCGATAGTTTTTCGATAGTCGACTATCGATAGTTTTTTTACTATCGATATTCAGATTTCTGGCGACTATCAATACAATCGATAGTACTAACGATAGTTTTGCACCACTAAGCTACACACCAATAACGTTCTGATTGGTGTGCGATGGGAGCCGTATTCTCGGAGCGGTAAGCGGCCGCTTCAATGTGCGTCAAGTCCAAAGCACCAGCAAATGTAGTTCGTTTCACCTTAAGATGTACAGCCCCCAACAATAAGAAGGGCCCGCTCGACTAGGCAGTTATATGTGGCTATGCTGGATTCGCTTTGCCTATGCCCATATTGCTTGGAGTGAGAAAATAAATGGACATTTATTCTATTCCCTCTCTGAAACTAAAAAGTGACTCTGAGCAAAGTGTGCCGAGAACCGCCGCATAAATTGTCTCGGCGAATGGTTCCTTCATATTGGGGGATACTGTGCCACTGCTAAGGCTAAAATTGCAAACTCGAAAGTTCGTGCAGCCGTTGTGGGTCCTTAACACCGCGTTCCTTGAGAAGGAAGCTAGCGCTTTTAGCGTCCGCTCCTCGGCTGTGTTCGTATCAGCTGAAGCACATTCAGAGCAGTTCGTGCACTTGTTGCGTCATTCGTCCATAGACGCCTTTCAAAAGTGTGCCCGTTGTTGGAACTTGCGGAATCTCTGAACAATGGTGAGCTCATAGGACGCCACCACAGTTGGAACCCTATAGAAATGCTACACACCATGTCCACTCTCTGACGTCACGCCAAGGTGGTGGCGCTGTTGGCGGTACTGCGCATGTGCTGATGCTTCATCTCACACGAACCTGGTTCCTGTGCACGCTCATGCCAACACCAAGGCCCGTTTTCTCGAACGCGAACCGTGGGTTAAAGTTAACTAATGTCCCTAGAAGGGGGAATTCTAGGTCACGTGACTAGGAGAGCAGGGGCGCCGAGGGAGGAGCAGTACCTACGAGCAAAATGGCCGCGACGTCGCTTAATGAGGGCTAATAGTTCTGCATGGTTCTGCTGAACATTCATTTCGATCCGGCTGTTATATTAATGACGCACCATCAACCTATTAGCACGTCAAGCAAAGCGGTAGTTCAGAGGGACTACTAAACTAACCGACGGCAGCATTCCGCGAACGCATCACTCTTCAGCAGTCCGTGATCCAAGACATATGACGGTACATAAGCCTTGCAAGTGTTTTTATGGTGAGTAAAAAAATGTTTTGCGAACGAGTGTTGGTATATATTTATACTAACACGTTTAATTTGTTACACAATGCACGCCAACTCGTGAGCAGCGATTACTTTGCGGAGAAAGGGGGTTATCCTCGATAAAGTCTTCGTTCCGGGTGAACAGCTGGGGCATTGTACTGTTTTTTTGTTCGCAGTGCGCCGACACTATGCCGAAAGCATCGAGGTTTCCACATATCCCCGGTGGCCAGCAATTCAACGGTGACGAGAAGCTTAGCTTCTCGTCACCGTTGGATTGGTTGGGCAAACGGAAGAGAAGGCAAACAGTTGAGATCAGCAGGAATCACAGAAACGTGCGTCGCGAACACTGTAGTCGCAAGGAACAAAAACGAGACTACAGCACCGGTGTTGCCAGACTGGATGGCACACGGTAAAGTTATGCGTTGTTTATGGCGAAACATATTGAAGGAAATGTTTTTTACATTTTCGAATATTCGTCGACAAACTCTAGCATAGTAGCTGAAATTTCTTCGTACCATCTGAAGCAAATAAATTGGTCTTCAAGTACAACATTACTATATTTTGACTTAAAATACCATACTGGATCGATAACAAACAACGGGGAAAGAGGATAAACAAAATGACTGGCTTGTTTCACCGATAGATGGCGCATCTTACTGCCCAATCAAAAATAATTATTGTTCAATATCCAGCCGTTTATTACAGTACCTAGGTACTTTTCCCTTCCTAGGCACCGTGGTTTACCAAAATGGGTTTCCCATCGCTTCGAGAAAACCGGCTCTGGTGTGGGCGAACGCGGGTTTTTTGGTAAATAGCGTGTTGGTGTATACATACTCACGTGTGAAGTTATAGAGTTCCACACTCCGAAGCATCAATTGTTCCGCCATTGTGAAGTGGTTTAGACATTCTAACAATCGGCACGTGTCTCTTGAAAACTTGCCTATTACCTACGTTAGATCGGTCAACCAACCCTTGCTGACTGCTAGCTGCGCCGAGCATCGAGCAGACGCTGATGAGCGTTGTGCGACGCAGTGCATCAAGAAAGACCCAGATGTGGCCAAGACTCTAGGAACGGCCGTGCGCAAGCTGACCATCATTATCGGGGAGGTGGCCACGTTGCTCGAGAAGCTTTCCGAGGTCCCTGTCACGGACTGGATGGCCATCGGCGACGCCATCATCCACAAGCTTGAACGGGTCACTACTTTTTTTTCCTCGAATGCACGTATGCTGTCCTTTTTTTTTTTTTTTTTACATGAATCTTAACTTGTTTTTTTATAAAACCATCCGTTTGTGTACGACCTTTTTTTGCGCATTAATAAATAGGATCCATTCACGCAGTAGCGTTTCAGTACCTTAATTACTGGCAGGCTGAGAACGACAGACAGGTCCTTCAGTTGTCCCGCCTCCAGCGCGAGCTTCCTTGTCTTCGAAAACATTTCGCCATATCATGAGCCTCAATTGCGCATGCGCAGCCAAGGCAAAGGGCGCGCTCTGGAGGTCGGGTGTCCGGAACAGACGCCCTGCCGTTCTTTTCCTGTCGGCGACAACACGGTGCCTTGTTGTGTACGCGTCGCTGGACTGCCGGAGCGGCATCTATGGCAGTCGGTCAGGAACGCATCGCGTCGAAGCAAGCAAACGAGCGGGACAACAGATAAGAAAGGACGCGCGTGCTGACCGCGGGGGTCTCGGCAGCAGGCGCCGCGCCGTCAAGGAGCGCGGCGATGCAATGCGGTTGGCGCTTCCGCGTTATACGAACCTTTTTCTTTTGCCGACGGCGCATACTTACTTTAGGCTTAGTAAACGGAACACGTTAAGCGGTGAGAACCAGAAAATATGCAAGAGACTCGCTACTGTTTATTTATCCGTGGGTATCAATCTCCTCCCCTTTCCCTGTGTGCGTCTTACCCCTTATTGACGTCCATCACTAACCAGGCAGCGGCGTCACTCTTCGCACGACAGCGTCGTCTTCCGCCACGTTTTCGCGCTTTTGGGACGGTAGCCAGCCCCGCCCCACGGCGCAACCACTCTTGTGAATACATCAAGTCACACCGTCGTTCGCTGATTGCAAGCTAAGGCTATCTCTGGAAATTCGACTGCATTACTGGGGCGGTTGCTAAACATGCCATTCCGTTAACACGCAGCGCCTAGCTCCCATCGTCTTTTAAACGCACTACGGAAATCGGATGTATGTCGGGTGAAGGAGGACCAATAAACTCAAGAGTGGTTTATGTTGGTTCAGCATTTCGCGATTTTAGAATGCAAAGAAAACCTGACGATACCAAAACAGGGTGCGAGTCAAAGTCAAAGTCAAATTGGACGTTTGAGTGATTTATACAGCGTAAGGTTGGTCTGCCAGTAGGGGCGACACTGGTTTACACTGTAGATGAGCAATTTAGCCAGTGCAGTACAACCGCTAGCCTGGGGTCTTTAACGTGCACCACGCAGTAGTGATACACGACCGCACGCCGGTACGATGCTCATCCAGATCGAAACGGGCAGGGGTGGGGCTCGAACCCAGGATCCCTGGGTTCTGCAGCGCGAGCTTTCGCTCCACGCGCCGAACCCAGGGATCCTGGGTTCGAGCCCCACCCCTGCCCGTTTCGATCTGGATGAGCATCGTACCGGCGTGCGGTCGTGTATCACTACTGCGTGGTGCACGTTAAAGACCCCAGGCTAGCGGTTGTACTGCACTGGCTAAATTGCTCATCTACAGTGTAAACCAGTGTCGCCCCTACTGGCAGACCAACCTTACGCTGTATAAAGTGCGAGTCGGCCTTGTAATATGTGTTCACTTCATTTTCGTCGAGTTCTGAACTCGCAGCGGTGAGAGCGAGGGAATTTGACCACTTCCAGGACGCACGGAGTGTTGAACTCGGCCCGGGCGTAAATCCGAACGACACCACAATTCCCCGTACCCGAGGTGCAATGTGGGATTTTCCGGAAAGGTCTTATTTCCGGGACGTGGCGCAGCTTCTATCTTGAAACTTTAGTGCAGGAGGTCCATCGGGGTGAGCAACATGCAAAGGCATTTACCATCTTTTCCGATGACTCAACTATTCTCCACTCCTCAAAGAAAAAATCTTTTTTTTTTCGACCTTCATCACTGCGTCGCGTAGGCAAATTAATTTTGTCATGTTTCAAACCATACTAGTACGTGACGCATTGCACGTAGAGTATTATTTACACCATTGTTAGTTTTTTTTTTGTTTTTTTACAAAGTAACGACGCAGGTGCTTTTCTAAGGGAAGGAACGAGTCAGGTATTTTTCGTACTTTCCAACGAAGTAACGAGCTACGGTATTCAGTTACTTCCGGAGAGAAGTGTCTATAAAAAAATAACTTTTTTTTTTTTTTTTTAGCCACACAAAAGTAATTTGCCCGTCGCAGATAGCTCAAACTCTGTAAGAATGTAACGCTAGCGAGGGTAATGTAAGGGGAAAGTTTGAGCAGATGACCTAGATTACAAGACACAAAAGAAAATCTAAATTTGTTTATGAACTTAGGTCCACCTCAGCCTAATATTCATAAAACCAAAAAATGACATTGTAATCAACTGCAGCAACTATTCCCGCAAAAAAAAAAAAAAGTGAGAAAAAAAGAAGGAAGGAACTAATGCTTTATGCGCCCACAATGTCATTTTGGGCTGAATAAACATTAGGCTTACGCACTGAAAAAAGGGCGTATTCTTATATAATACACCCCAAAACTTCAGTTCGACGTAAGGCGCATTGACGTTGAATCGACGGTACCAACTTTTACGAGTGGCTTGATAGCCGAGTTGAACAACTTATGGAAATAGCTAATGCACGTTTGACTCACTGGAAAAAAAATGTAGAGCCATCTGAGACTTCACATGAAGATGGAGGACCAGCGAAGCTGTTATTTTTACGACGTCTAGGACAATGTTTAGTAAAGGACGACGTCTCGGACGACCTCAAGGACAACTTCTAGGACGACCTCGAGGCCGATGCTTAGAGATGATAACGAATAATGCCAAGGAGGGCTGACTCACGCTGGTTGCCCCCTTTTAATTTTTATTTATTCATACTTGCCACGACCAATGGGGAGTTTTCTTTCAACATCTGTGGACGCATTTTATTTCAGATCCCACAGCATAACAGCTTAGCTGTAAAAGTAATCGGAGTTTTCTTGGCCCTAGTGCAAATCATCAGTATTTTTCTATGTTGTTGATGCGTACTTTAGCAATTTAATATGTTATATCGCAACGTCATCAAGCCGTAAAAATTGGTTCCGTCAGTTCGACTTCAGTGCACTGTACGTCGAACTAGCGTTTCTGGGGTGTTATATGTGACAAAGGGTCTAATGGCTATACCCTTTTCTTTTTGGTGTACGTGAACGTGGGCTCGTGGACAAACCTATCTTCTCTCCTATCTTTTGAGAAGAAGGTGACCTCATGTTCTCAAACTGTCGCCTTTTGTGAACACTGCCAGCGTTGCGTTCTTGCGTAGTCTCAGCTTTCTTCGATGCGTATAGTTTATTGTTGAGGGCTGAAAGACCGCGTTTCATTTTCTCCATCAGGCCCTTACACCACAAGTACTCAACCCAGTTCTCACCTAAGCTCGCGCCTGTAAACAGCGCGTCGAGAAAACGTTAGGTAAACCATAAAAAGATGCATCAACGGTACGTCAGTACAGCCACAAGTATCCATGAAAGAAAATGTTAAAACTCAAGAAAATATATTACCGACAACAAATATTGGAAGTGCCTACCGCGTCATCCAAAAGGCACATTCAAAGTAACGAGGAAATAACACGTTGCATTCAAGCTGCGTTAACGTGTTCTTTTTATTAGCAGTAACGAGTAACGTGCTTAGTTACTTTTTGGATAGGGGTGAGTAATGAGTAACAGTATTTTTTTACCATTTGATTTCAGTGACGTGTACATGTCAGGCTACAACCCTGGTTTTTGTATCTTTCCCCAGATGAACCTGCCGGAACAGCCCTCGCTCGGGGAAGTCATCCCAAAGATGCGGGACTTTAAGAATATAAAAATGCTCGGCGCAGGAGGCTTCGGGTGAGCTTCGAACATTTAAAAGGCTTTTACATTCTCTGAGACCGAGTGGGCGTCCATCGAGACCTTGAAATGCCATTCCGTGTCAGTGCGACCTCATTCTCCATTTCCCTTCGCCTCGCAGGGGAATGTGAGCAATAAATGTGAATGTGAGCAACCAGACATAAGCTGCGTTTACATGGATGCGACCGTTGCGCATCGAATCGAGATTTGACCATTTTGATTGGTACCAGATAGGTAGAAGAGGAAGAAGTAGGAAGACAGGCTGCGTGCGATTGATTCCTGCTCGGTTCGATGCGCTACGATCGCATCCATGTAAACGTAGCCATAAATATAAATGTGAGCAACCTAGACAAACTCATAACCTTCTTATTTCAAGTTACTTTAATTCTCACTCACTCACTCACCCACTCACTCGCTCACTCGCTCACTCGCTCACTCGCTCACTCGCTCGCTCACACACACACACACACACACACACACACACACACACACTCGCTCGCTCCCTTCCTCGCCCGCCCGCCCGCCCGCCCGCCCGCCCGCTCACTCACTCACTCACTCACTCACCCACTCACCCGCTCACTCACCCACTCACCCACCCACTCAACTACTCACCCGCTCACCTACTCACCCGCTCACTCACTCACCTACCTACACACCCACTTACCCCCGCCCACTCGCTGACTCATTCACCTACCCACCTACCGGGTATGCGATATGCAAGTTGTTGCAAACCCTATACTCCGTCTCAGTGAAACCGTGCAGTACAGCCAAAGCTACAGCGTCGAGAGCATAGGCCCACCTGTTCAAGAGGAGGGAAATGAGGAACGGGAAAGAAGGGCTGGAGTTCCCCCGTTCCTCCTCTCCCTCCTCTTGAACACGTCGGGGATACTTTGTAGCTTTGGCTGTACTGCACCGTTTTAGTGAGACAGGGTATAGGTATGCGAGCTTTGCTTTTTACGTAACGACTGCATCTTAAACTAGTTTCCTGGTGCTTGAGAATACATGTTACGAAAGGTGATTGATTCTGCTTAATTAAAATCGAAATTGAAATTTAAGTGAAAATAGTGAGTGATATCCTGATAATCATTATATAATTATAGTTAATGTTTTATGATATTTAAACAAAGAAGTTAAGTGATGCTGCCCTCGAAGGTGTAGGATCAATCAAACAACCCTTCTTTTGCGATGTCTAACGCTTTCTCATTCGTTTTTTTAGTTTGTGCAGTTCGTACCCAGATTATTATACAATATTGAAAGCGTGAACAAGTAACTGAATAGTAGAGTTACAGTTTTAATCACCTTTTTAATCATTCTCTGAACAATTTTCGAGTCCCCGTGACCCTAGGCATGTACGACGTCTCGTTTTCTCAATATGTGGAGCCAAACTGAAGGCCCGTTTACAAGCGTATGTTTGCTTAGGACCGAGCACTTGTGATATGAGGAGTAAAAACACTGGCACGCTGGCGGCATCAATGAGGTGACCCTGGAACGCCATTTCACTAGAACGAAGGTGTTGCGTTACTTCCGAGAACAAATGTACGTACTATAGAAATGGTCGTTGATGATATTCTCAAAAACTTTTTTTTTCAAGCCAACAAAAAGAAAGACATATGTCGTGAAAAGAAAAAACATTTTACGGAAACAGAAGTTTCCCACGGCTACCCAATAGATGACGCCAGTCTGTATTTTCGTCATAAAAATATTTATGAAATTGTTTTTCAGGCACGCGTTTGTAAGTAGAGGTATCGCGAACAGGTCGAGGTTCGAGTTCGACGACGTTCCACTTTTTCGAACATCTTGTGAAAAGTTTGACAAAAGTTCGACTGAGGTACGACTGCTATGCGCATGCGCGACATGCTGGACAGCTCTCTTCGGATTGGATGGTGATGGCTAAGGGATGAATTAAGGGCAGCACTGATTGGTCACTTCAGTTAATACAGCACAAAAAATATTAACTTGTAAGGTGATTAGAATTCGTTTATTTTAATTGCAATTGTTCATAAAATTAAAATAACCCTTTACATTAAAAAAAAATTCTCCAAACCTAGACCTGCTTGTATCAAGGTCTGGCCACACTGTACGCAAAGTCGAACTGGTCGATCTGGTTAACAGTTCGAAGGTTCGTCGAACCGGTTCGAACCACTCGAACCCCGAAAGTTCGACTTAAAAATCTGGTTCGACAAAAGTTCGCGACACCCCTAGTTGTAAGCAGTCTGAAGTGTGTGAACCAGCCATAACAATCTCTTCAAAAACAAAGATGGGCCTTTATCTGGTATACAGCATCACACGGCATTCATTATTTTACTTTTTCCCCTCAAACAGGGCTGTGTACTTGGCTAACTTTAAGCCGGCCAATTTTATTGCCACTATCAAACTAGTGGCTAGGGACCGCTTCACCAGCAGCAAGCAAGCCGCCATGGACAAGGTGGTGGCGTCCGTCATCAGAAACCCTTTCCTAGTCAAGTATTACAGCTGCTTTTGTGTCAAGGTAAGTTCGAATACGTTTCTAACTGTTCAGCGAGACAGCTACACATGTCTTGCACGTGGCGTCGTATGATACCTTACACGCCGTTGCTCCGTACCATCTCGGCAAGGCTTGCCGAGTAGAACAAATTCGATGGTTTTGGCTCATTTTTGTCTTCTGCGCATGAGAAAGGAAGTAGAGGTGACGTCAGAACGCCGAGCCCTGATTGGCTGATCGCGACCGCCTATCTGAGCGTCGTCTGCTCCTTTGCAACGTCGTCTGACCGCACCGTCGTCTGCGTCTGTCTCACCTTTCCTGCGACTTTCGGAAGTGCAGGTCTTTACGAGCGAGCTCGACTTGGCCTTTCAGAGAGGGCAGACGAAATAACTCGAGCGGTACGTTGTTTTTGTCTAACAACTAGCAGACGCGCATCAAGGAGGCAAGTCAAAGGACTCACTGGCGTGGTGTCCCGAGGCGCCGAGGTTTGTTTGCTAAAAACCGAGAAGGGTGAGCGTGTTAGTGTACGCAAGTTCCCTCCCAAATACTTTTTCCTTCCTTTCGTGTGCGGCGAGACCCCTCATTCTTTAACGGCGTCAGCGGGTTGGCGTCGTCTGCTTTACGTCTGCTGTCAAAGCGATGGCTGCTTTACCTTTCCTGCGTCTGTCGGAGATTCACCGCTTTTTCACTGGCGAGAGTCACCGTTGCCTCGGGAAACAAGGAGATAACAAGAGGAAGAAACTGACCTCTTAATCTAAAATTGAGGTCAGCGATCAAAGTATAATACGGGAAGGGTTGACAAGGGTCGCGCGGGCATATTCCATTCAGCACGCCAGCCGGTCGTGGGCAGACTGTCGCCGAGTCGGGGAGTGCCTGCTAGACCTAACTGCCGTGCTCGCTTGGTCGCGTTCGGTGGAATCGTGGCCGTTGGAGCTTTTCCCGAGTATTTGTGGATCCAGCGTTCTTGTTCGTAGTGGTCTGTTTCAAGTACATTTTACTTTTTTCTTGCTGCTTGAAGTCGGGACGCGTCAGAAGCGCGCGTAAAAAAATAAACGTCCGTGGGTCGTCGCGACCGCGACGCTGTCGGCCATGCTGATTTGATCGTAAGGAGTGCGTAAGACAGCTTCGGAGCTGTCGTAGGATTTTGTCGTAACCTGAGCAAAACTTACGAAAATTTCGTTTCGTGAATACGAATTTGTTCTTAAGTTTTGTCTTACGGACATTTTTGGCGGAAGGTCGTTTCGTGAATCTGGCCTCTGCACTTCCGAAAGTCGCAGGAAAGGTAAGACAGACGCAGACGACGTTGCGAGCAGAAGACGTTGCAAAGGAGCAGACGACGCTCAGATAGGGGGTCGCGATCAGCCAATCAGGGATTGACGTTCTGACGTCACCGCTACCCCCTGCGCAAGAAGCAGACGAACTTGCCCTCCGCATTGGTTTAGCAGATAGAAGCAAATGCACAAACTCGAAGAATACCGTGACGAAGCGCCTTTTTGGCACTGCTCGATTGTCCCCTACCCAGATCATATACCGTTTGCCGCGTTCGGACTTGAGTGAAACGGAGTGTTTAGTAACTCTTCGTGGGTAACATTTTCCTATTGTCACGCATGGGCGGTGCGGGTCTTGAAGGAGGCGTACGTCACAGTCATGGAGTATATTGCCGGTCTGGACCTCATGCACGTCGTCAGCGAGGAAGGGTTCTTGGAGACCGAAGCCGTGAAGATCGTCATGGCCCAGCTGATTCTAGCGCTGGAGCATATGCACCTCCGCGGGTTTCTTCACAGAGACATCAAGGTGTCAAAGTGAGTTGAACCACCCAAGTCACAATGAGGGATGTGTGACTTACACCAACCGAATACGTAAAAGTTGAGTACAGCTCAATGTCAGCTTTTGTAAGAGCAGAAATACTGCGAGGGCCGAAGAGATCTAACCCATTTTAAACGAACCGCAAAAATCGTTTGCTTAACGAAAGGTATGGCTAAGTAGTTAGGGTATGGAGTCAGAATATCATCAGCTAAACTTACCTAATTCAAAAAATAAAAACAAGAAAGAAAAAGAACAAACCTGTTTCATGCAATTCACGGCAGCGTCTCGTGGAAATTGCGGGCCGTGTGCGATGTGCTGCCGACAGATGCCGGAAGCGTCGAGGGCGCTCCGGCGCCGAGCTTACCAGACGTTCTTCCGAAAGTTTTGGCTACACTTCCATCTGCGCAACGCGAGTATCTTTGGTGAAAGATTTTATATTTGGGCTATCTTTTTAAAATAAACTAAATACCAAAAGAGGTGTTTAAATCATTCAGGGTTCCTCATTTCTACCTTAGAAATAAACGGTCGAGGATCCGCATCCTCTAGTGCTTCACATTACGCCATCTGTCGACAGCGTATGCAAGTGGCCAGCCTCGTATGGAATTGTCTGCGAAATAGTGCGGTAAATTGCCCGAAACAGGCTCCACTTTATTTATTTTTATTTTTTTTTCATTTTTAGACGAGGTAAGTTCGTTTGTTAATATTTTGACTTCATACTTCCCCCACCTAGCCGCAACAATATGTAGTAAATCGCGGCGCGCTACTTTGAGAAACCGATTTTTGCGGCTCGTTTAAAGTGAGTTAGATTCCTTAGGCCCTCACGGTATGTGCCACAATGGTTCAGAGAAATTGTTACTTTTTATTCGGAGGTGCAACCCACTTAATTCGAACTCCTAAAATGCACACACTATTCTTGAGCATTCCGCATCAATATAAAATGTACAATATTTTTTTTCTTGTTTTGCGATTAAAAGGAAAGTACAGATCATTCCCTCTCCTTTCTCGACACCAAGTGGGGAAAGGCTACGAGAGTTTGTATACAAATATATTATATACATGTACACTTCTTTTTTTTTTTTTAACTTTGTGATATATAGATAATGTTCGAACCATACGTAGTCGAGAAAGCGCTTTAGTGGGGCTTTAAGTAAAACTGAGGTTCCTCAGATTTTTAAAGCGCTTTGTTTTGTTATTATTCGCGCTTGCAAGCTTGTTTTATATACCTATTTTGAGAGTATATTAAATTTAACTGTGTAATCATTTTTTTAATGTTGCCCTAATTACGTTTTTCGAAAAAAAAAAAGACGACCGCGCTCTTCGAGTGAGCTTTGTATCCGGCAACCCACAGTGGGTCCTTCCAGACAATCTATTTCTCAACTATTCTTTAACAATAATCTTCCGATTCATTCAAAAATACCCAGCAAGCTAACCTTCAAGAGCGATATATACCTTCAGTTTCCCTTCTTCAGGCTTAGTACTTCCTTGTTCGATCGAGCACAACTACAATTTTCAGCATGCTGATTCTCCCCGGTGGACGTGTCAAGGTAATAGACTTCGACACGACAAAGGTCTGCCATGGACATTGTAAGTACACCCACCAGAAGTTCAAGTAAGGTTATGGAACTGACCACGACTAAGAGAGCGTCCTTCCGCCTTCCGCCGCAGTTGCCAAGCGACCCCTGCGTGGCTACTTCCACAGGACGCCCTTCGAGTTTCATGACGGGGAATCAGCGGGCACTGTCCCTTACATGGCTCCTGAAATCCTTAAGAAGAGGCCATATGGTGAGTTAATTATGGTTACACATGAAGCGTTTTAGTAGACCGTTTTTTAGCTCTGTTTATTGTTCTCCACATTGCGCTGGTGCTAGTGTTCATGAGCGGTATTATCATGTGTTCTGAAAAACCTTGACTGTGCTACTTTGTGGAAAAAACATTTCGTCGTATTGAGTGAGTTGAAAGGCTAGGGATTGTATCGCCTTGACTGACAGACGTTTGCCGTTGGCCAGCTTGCATTTGTAGTGTGAACTTAATTCGACGCTTGCTTTGCCGCAGTTTTTTTACAACAAAACATAAGTTCAGTGAAGAACACATCCCATACTGGTACTCTTTTTCATTTATTCAGTTATTTTATTATGCATTTATCAGAGAGAACTGCCACATATATCGGTTATACATTCAGCGAGGCTGAAATTTTGGAAATGTATCAATAGACATTAGATAAATTCATTCACATTCTACTATAAATTAAACGAAAAGTATATATAGGGAGGTAGAGTTAATTAATATAGAGCACGTCGGCTCCTCTAAAGACCTCTCGGTAGTGATGACAAACGTGTTAAGCTGAGCTTTACCAACAAAAAAAATAATAAAGGAACGACGCAGAAAAAAATAATCACACCGTAAACAGTACAAAATAGTGATTAAGGAAGAACACTGATTACTGCTAGAATCTCACGATGTGGTACATACACGCAAGCTAGTACGTAAAGCAGAACAAACAATTAAAATGTATTGGCTCCAGTTATTTAAAAAAAATTAAAGTGAAATAAAACAATCTTTGTATTTATATCGGTGCTACAGTTGATCATCGTATAATCAAAACACAAAATCCTCTTGCGCATCTTCTTTTCTTTTTTTTTCTTTTTTTTTTACGGGAGCAATAACGTTTTATTAGGCTTTGATGATGCAAACCAGCTGCACGATTGTAAAGCCTTCTGTAAACATGTGCGAGGATCACATACTCCACAACATCAGGAGGAGTCGCGTGCGCTTATTCAGCTAATTCAGCCCCTGGGTTCAAATGTTGTCACTGATAAAATCTGCCTGTGGACTCCATTACAGCAACGTCATTAGATGTTCGTGTTTTCCGTTAAATAGGACCTCGTTTGGACCTGCTTTAAGGTGATACTGGCAGCGTCCATATAGCTAAAGTACTCTCAACATTGTAAAAGGCAAAAGCCAAATAGAAGCGTCTCAAAATATGGACAATCTAAACTTTTGGCTCCGCTCAGCTAACGGGACGTCAAAAGATTTTGAAGGTGAAATATTAAGTCTGAACTGCAGTAATTAATAATTTCGTAAGTGTATCTATTTTTGGCAAGGCTAGAATACCCTCGTGAAGGCGACCGAGTTGAACATAATTACTTAAAATCGAAAGAATAAAACAGGGAGGACAAGCACATAAACAGGAAGAAAGAACAGGAAGAAATAGAAACTAATAAGGCATATAGTACATACAGTTGCTAGAATGGGTAAAAAAGAAGACCGCTGCACTCATGAGTGAAGATAACAACTAAGACCAACGTGGGTTGTTCTCTGCTTGTCCTCCGTGTTTTATTCTTTCGATTTTCAGTAAGAATAACCAATTACAGAAAATTAGAAATAATTACAATTTTTCGTTTTTCTAGGTATGACATTTTTCAGAATGTATATTGACGGTGTCACGCATGGTGTTTCTACTCAAGCTCCATAATCACAAAGGACAAAAAAAATGTATGGCACCCAAATGTATACTGAAGAGAACAATCTTTTTTTCAATATGAATAACACTTTCGACGAGGTAATTTTACAACAATGCATTTTCTTGCTCCAATCAACGTGGGCCTGGCCAAAGCGAATCTCGCACATCCGCCTGAGACTGCCTCGTTGGATTTTTTTTATTCAATACTGCCAGCTGTTTTTTAGCAGCCAGGGCAAGAATGGTTACATAGAGTTGTTTCTTTCATTCATGGGACATTTCTTCACATCAACAAGAGCATCCAAAAGAGAAATCAATAAGGCAAGAGAAACCAATACAGTTGCCAGAATGGGTAAAAAAGAAGACTGCTACACTCATGAGTGAAGATAACAACTAAGACCAAACAAAGTTGTTAGCAAGGGACACAAACATAAGGAGCCACAATCGCCGGTAAGATAGGCCAAAAATAGCGGAATGTTGCTGTGAACTTCCTTCTAGAAGTGACAATATAAAATGCAAGCAAAATAACACTTCACTCAAGATTAGGTACCAATACAAGACACAAAGGCATCCGATGACATTGTACCGACCATGTCACGCGGAAGGTCGTTCCATTTGGTTATCGTTCTTGGAAAAAAAAAACGATATACGTTTATCCCGCACTCAGGCATCAGTATTGTTTTATTGTGTTAGTTTTGAGTCGGTCGCAGAGCGATAAACTGCATAGAGTCGGGGAATTTAAATCCTGGTCTTGTTATTGGCTATGCTAAAGGTGAGCTTTAGTCGATGAAGCTTCCGGGGGGATTAATGTAGGGAGCCCAGAACGGTTCAGAAGTTCTGTCGCCGAGATGTTTCTACCTTAAGCGTGATAAATGAAGCGAAGCGCCTTCCTCTGTACGTGTTCAATGCAATCGGTATCGGTTTTTGTGTGGGGGTCCCAGACAATGTCATCGTGTTCTATTACCTGTCTTACAAGGGACCTGTAGGCCACCAACTTCGTTTTGCTAGTGCCATGTTTTAGCCTGTGTCTTAAACACCATAACCTTTTAGTAGCCGCCGAGGCAGTGCTATTAATGTGGTGCTTCCAACTTATATTAGAAGTTATAATTATTCCTAGGTACTTAAACTGCGTGACTAGGCTAATCTCAGTATCATTAATTTTATATATGTACCTCTGCGGTTGTCTTTTTCCTGTTATTGACATATCTGCGCACTTAGCGGTATTTAAACTCATTGGCCAAGATGACACGATCCGGAAATGGCTGCTAGGAAATCGTTTAAAGTTATCTGGTCGCCTGTTGACTGAATATATAAATGCGCGATGCAATCGTCTGCAAAAAAATGGCAGCGAACAGGTGAGTTGTATGCCAAATCGTTGAAATAAATTAGGAAGAGGAGTGCGCCCAATGTGGAGCCTTGAGGGACTACTGAAAGAACGGAATGGTGCTAATGGCGAGTTGGTCGTTTCAATTTGAACGTACTGCTGTATCTGTGATAAGTACGAGTCAATCCACCGAAGTAGTAGTAACAAATTTATTCCGAAAAAGGGTGGCACTTGGCCTGTTTGGGAAGGGGCTAAAGGGGTGTTACGAGTTAGGTGCGGCGCACTATGGAGGCTTCCATCGTAAACCGGACACACGGAAAAATAAAAAAACGGACAAAACAACAACAAGTCTCAAACACAGCTTCTAGTTTATTTGAACACCTCCGCTCTTATATATACACCACAATCCTCCTCTCCAAAGGTCGAAACACCTCCTCTCCACTCCATCAACGACATCTCAAACTGAACCATGCTACCTCCCTTCCTTTCATACCAACCAAAACTGACCCAGACGACCTCCTTTCAAATCCATGAAAGGAGGTCGTCTGGGTCAGTTTTGGTTGGTATGAAAGGATGGGAGGTAGCATGTGTCATTGGTTCAGTTTGAGATGTCGTTGGTGGAGTGGAGAGGAGGTGTTTCGACCTTTGGAGAGGAGGGTTGTGGTGTATATATAAGAGCGGAGGTGTTCAAATAAGCTAGAAGCTGTGTTTGAGACTTGTTGTTGTTTTGTCCGTTTTTTTTATTTTTCCGTGTGTCCGGTTTACGATGGAAGTTCTTCACCAGCTCGCCTGTGCTTTTACCCTTTCTTCTTATGGAGGCTTCACAGGCGAAGCTCCACAGCGCGAGCAAGGTCGTTTTAGAGCGCAGCTCTTAGGGGCCCGTTCCCGGCTTGAGCGGCGTCGGCGTCGCCGTCGGCGTAACCAAGATCATCCCAAGGTCACGTGACCCCTCCCAAGCTCCCAAGGTCACGTGACCTTGGGGGTCACGTGGGTTCATTTTGGGGTCACGTGACCCCTCCAGGTCACGTGACCCCTCCCAAGGTCATCTCAAAGTCACGTGACCCCAAGATGACCCCACGTGACCCTTTAAAGGTCACGTGACCCCCAAGGCCACTTGACCCCAGTTCACGTGACCCCTCTGAGGTCACGTGTCCTATCTGAGGTCACGTGACCCCCAATGTCACGTGACCCCTCCCAAGGTTATCTCAAGGTCACATGACCCCAAGGTGACCACCACGTGACCCCCAGATCACGTGACCTCCTAAGAAGGAGGAGGGGTCACGTGACCCCTCTAAGGTCACGTGACCCCCGAGGTCACGTGGTCTCTTCTCCAAGGTCACGGGACCCCCCGAGGTCACGTGACCCCTCTAGGTCACGTGACCCCCAGGTCACGCCTCCCCGAGGTCACGTGACCCCCTCCCTGAAGTCACGTGACACCCCCCCCCCCCGAGGTCACGTGACTCCGGACCATATTAAAGAATGAGGGGAGGAGGAGGAGAAGGAGGAGGGGTCTACCCTCCCCTCGGTACCCTTCACTCCTCCTCCTCAAGAGCTGCGCTCCAATTCGGCGTTACAGGGATTTGTAAACGGCTTTCACTTTTTTTGGTTCTGTACCGGAGTAACCCACCCCTCGTAGGAGGTCACACCTGGTGGTCGGTGCTTCTCTCTGACGTCTTTTAGTCCGTCACACTCCCAGATGAGATGTCTGATGGTCGGTGCTTGATCTGCGGAGCAGCTGCTGCAACGTGTGATTGGAGGTGGTGGGGGATCGCCTTCTTGATTGCACAGTTGGTTGTACCGCCACCTTGCCACCATGTCTTCTGTGATAGCGAAGCCCGTTCGCGCTTTAACAACAAGCACTTGGGCCCCCTGAGGTAGACCTTGTAGGGTTCGGTGCTACTGCTCACCCGCAAGAAGGACCAACGAGGCAGATATCATAGAACACACCTTTACTGTCTGGCGGCAGCCAACCGACTGCCGAGCCCCGAGACTCGACCGTGG